TGTTCCAGGTTCACGTGACACATACTGTTTCACCGCTGGGGCATCAGCCACATCATCTGTCAGATGTGGATGTACATTATTACAAAGACCCTTTCAGATTTTCCAATACTACGCCATGTCAGGTCCCTACTTTCACAGACCTGGCAAAGTGAATTTGCCAAGTGTTTTGATAAGAAGAGGAGAAAAATGTGCCTATTATTTCACTTTGTACATCAACTAAAAAGTCTTAAGATAATGTCATGGTCAAAAGTGAAAATGGGAACTTTATCTTGGAGAGTGGGGGTGGTAAAAGTAGTGAAGTTTTCAGAAAATTACTTTCACCCTTAAATCCAAACCATAACTCTTGGGACCATGGCTGTACTTTAATGCGTGTTATTCCCATGCAGTCTTAGAGCTGGGAAGGAGGTGGATCCTACTGAAGTCTTGCTGTATAACTGACACCCGTGCCTTTAAATAATGCCCACAGTTCATGAATAAAGACTCATGTCAAAAAAAGATCGTTTTTTTCCTTGGGAGTTCTAAAGAAACAACAATTAGTTTAAATTTTATTTCATCATTATGTTCCAAGTTTTTTCAATAAAAGAGTTTTTCAGTAAAGAATTTTTCTTCTAGGGGCGCCTGGGTGGCTTAGTCGGTTAAGCATCCGACTTTCACTTAGGTCATGATCTCGCGGTTCGTGGGTTCGAGCCCCGCGTCGGGCTCCGTGCTGACTGCCAGCTCAGAGTCTGGAGCCTGTTTCAGTCTGTGACTCCCTCTCTCTCTGACCCTCCCCTGCTCGTGCTGTCTCTCTCTCTCTTTCCTAGAAATAAAACATTAAAAAAAAAAAAAGAATTTTTCTTCTAAAACCATCCATTTAATGTTGAAACTTTTGTTTCCTGCAGTTCAACAGCCTGGAGCAGCTGTGCATCAACTTCACCAATGAGAAGCTGCAGCAGTTCTTCAACCACCACATGTTCGTGCTGGAGCAGGAGGAATACAAGAAAGAGGGCATCGAGTGGACGTTCATCGACTTTGGGATGGACCTGGCTGCCTGCATCGAGCTCATCGAGAAGGTCTGTCTGACTTCAAAAGAAAGGCTGACTGCAAGGATAACCAGCCCCCTACCCCCCCCCCAAGTGTCTGAAGCAGTTCTACAAAGTATCACTGTGATCTTAAATAGATGGATATCAGAACAAACAATTTCTGTTTAGGACGAACTTCCTCCTTTCAGCTTTTACATGAGAAGGATCAGAGTGTTTAGTTTCATTCTGTTCTGAACAGCTTTCCTCTAACAGCAACTCAAACCTGATTTTAAAGCAGCTCTGAGAATTCAATTGAGGTGATCTGCTCTACTAGCAGAGCTACCTCATTAGTCCTCAGTGTTTCTCTGCTACCATCCAAGGTGTCAGCAGCATAAGTCTTTTTTCTAGATAGAAATTAGTACACACATAACCCAGCTAAGGCCTATGTGAAAGGTGATAATCCATTTCCAAGTCAAGAAGTCTAATTACTTATGATTTTCCAGAATCTATCTTTAAGGAGATTAAATACAGAAAATGTCTTAAGGAAGGTTTGGGTTATTTATACTATTAAATTACTGCATCTAAAGGAAACACCACCCTAAGTCAGTAAGTCCTTTTCATAGCAAAATAAAACAATGACAGCAGATTAATTCACTCAATAGGCAAAAAGTGTGAGGATACAGAACATTTTCAAACTGCCCAGATATGCTGTGCTGACATCTGGAGTCTGTATTCAGCTATTCTTTTAACTGAACATGTTGCTATGGATTGAATGTGACAAGGAATGGTGGGAAAGTCACTCTAGTGATAACAAAAGGAATTCTTTGTGAGCTATGGCCCTAGTTTATTGTGTGTATATGTATATTTTTAATTGGCATTTCTAATAATTCTATCAAATACAGTCACCATGTCTGTATCTTTTGAGAGAAGACATGTTGACACTAATGTCCACCTTTCTGAATCCAGCCTCTAGGCATCTTCTCCATCCTGGAGGAGGAGTGCATGTTCCCCAAGGCCACGGACACCTCCTTCAAGAACAAGCTGTAAGAACAGCACCTGGGCAAGTCAAACAACTTCCAGAAACCCAAGAAAGACAAAGGCAAGGAAGAGGCACACTTCTCGCTGGTGCACTACGCGGGCACCGTGGACTACAACATCGCCGGCTGGCTGGACAAGAACAAGGACCCGCTGAACGACACCGTGGTCGGGCTGTACCAGAAGTCTTCAATGAAGACTCTGGCCAGTCTCTTTTCCACATACGCTAGTGCTGAAGCAGGTACTTTCTGTGCCTTTTCTCTGTATTAACTCTATTCCCACAGAATGTTCATACAACATTCCAGCCTCTAGGAGTCTACTTTAATTGATGGGTTTTTCTTTCTACCCCAGACAGCGGTGCAAAGAAAGGTGCTAAGAAGAAGGGCTCTTCTTTCCAGACTGTGTCAGCCCTTTTCAGGGTAAAGTACAAAGTTCATCCCCAAATCCTATTAAGTTTCTATGAATTATCACAATTAAAGGGTTTAGAATAAATTAGTACAGAACGGAGTGTTCAAATATTCTCTTATCACAGTAGAACCAAAGTAAAACTTCTCTTACAGGGTCAGATGTTTTACCCATTATTCCTCATTATGATCATCTGATGTATTTAGGAATGTCAAAATATCCTTAGAAGCTTTCTTATTATATCATCAGGCTGATTTTTAAAGAAGCATAACTGAACTTCAAGGCTGTCCCTATGGAAAGCCGAATCTTTATTCCACTAATATTGCCCTTTGAGATACTCCCAAATTCCTCTTTGAGGATGAAACAGAGATACACTCTCTAGGACATCTCTCCACCAAAACACAGCTTTTCATCCTCTGAGGTGGATTTAATTTTTTGTAATGGCTTAAAATCATCTAAAGCCAAGACTGGTGACATGTGGATGATAAAGCTAGAAGATATCTCTGGAGATTAAAAGAACAATAAGTTTACTACAAATACTGTGATTTTGTAGGTAGCTTAAAAACTGTCCCCTCCAAGGGGAAGTGTGTGAAATGTCTGGATTAACGAATGGCTGCTCTGTCAGAATCTGTATGGCTAAGTCTCAGTCCTTATAAAACTACAATGAGGATGTAACCCACAACTGAAGCAGGAACACCAGCCTGTCGGTTTTCTTCCTCATTATCAATTTCCTTTACCTCGTCCAGTAGGCTCTTGCTTTGACTTATCCTTGTACATGTACATGTTTTTAAGATTAGAAGCTCTCAGTAATTACTTTATTTCTGAATAGTTAACTGAGATATGAAAGATAAAAAAGCCACTCTGCCTTCTAAGAGAATACCTAAGAAATATTTACATGTGAGTTTCCTATAGTTGAGTAAAACATCATCGGTCATAAACAATTACTCAACTTTTGGAATAAGTCCCTCCAGATGCTTCAGACCATGGATCATTCCCACACACCCAAGATCCACCTACACAAGGTTATATGGTCTCAGGATTTTAGAGTCTTCAAAAAAAAAAAAAAAGACAAAACAATATAAAACGAGAAGTCACAGATCCCAGGGATTAAAACTTGAGGAAGGATGGCTAACCTAGGTTACCGCTGTAAACTACTACTGTGAAAATTACCAGTGCTGAGACAGACGGAAGATGCCTTAGACGTGCTGTCAACTCTTTTCAGATGAAGGCACAGAAAGACGAAAGAGATTTCAGAGTCAAACAGCTCATTAGTGGCAGAATGAGACCAAGGTCATTAGTCTTTTGATTCCCAGTTAAGAACAATTCCTATGCATCAAGGCTACTGGATTTGCAGTTTGTTTATCAGGCAATGAATAGTCTTACAGAGCTGCATTTCTTCCCAGCACTTTGGCCTTGTGGTTATTAGGTGGCTAGAACTCTTGGGACTTTTAATTTTTTTTTTTAATGTTTTTATTTATTTCTAGGAGAGAGAGAGAGAGAGAGGCAGCACGAGCAGGGGAGGGTCAGAGAGAGAGGGAGTCACAGACTGAAACAGGCTCCAGGCTCTGAGCTGGCAGTCAGCACAGAGCCCGACGCGGGGCTCGAACCCACGAGCCGCGAGATCATGACCTAAGCGAAAGTCGGACGTTCAACCGACTAAGCCACCCAGGCGCCCCGGGACTTTTAAAATACAGATGAACTGAAGCTTCATAGGCTTCTATGTAACAGTTTAAGAGAGTGCCTAGGTTCAATCCAAATAATTACCAAAAAAAGCAATCTGAAATAAAACTTCCTCATCCAGAATTTCCATCTGTCTGTTTTCTAGGAAAATTTAAATAAACTGATGACCAACCTGAGAAGCACACACCCTCACTTTGTGCGCTGCATCATTCCCAATGAGACCAAAACTCCCGGTAAGATAGAAGAGCATGAGATAATCAAGCAGGCACAAGTTGGAAAATGCACTCCCCAAAGCTAAGTCCCATCTACGTGCAGGGGCCATGGAGCACGAACTCGTCCTGCACCAGCTGCGCTGTAACGGCGTGCTGGAAGGCATCCGCATCTGCCGGAAGGGGTTCCCCAGCAGAATCTTATATGGGGATTTTAAGCAAAGGCCAGTCTCTCTTTGCTGTATTTCACTGCATGCTGCGACCATTTTGTCATCGTAATTGTTGTCCTCTGTTCACAGTTTCATGTTCCCTGCTCAGTAAATACTGTAAAACTAAGAAGTCAAATAATACAGTCCCGTGGCAGCAGGACAGGAAGGCAGTTCAAAGGGGTGGTATTTCTAACAAATAGGAAGGAGGCATGCATTAAGCAAGAGAAAGATCACATTGTTTTACTAACTGGAACTTAGAAGGACACAGATAATCACACCTCCCTAATCATTCTTTCCTTTGTTTCACCAAACAGATACAAGGTTTTAAACGCAAGTGCTATTCCAGAAGGACAGTTCATCGACAGCAAGAAGGCTTCTGAGAAACTTCTTGCCTCTATTGATATTGATCACACCCAGTACAAATTTGGACATACCAAGGTACGGCTGTTATGTACTCATACCTGACCCATTCCTTTCACCACCACTGTGTCTTCTGTACTATGGGGATGACTTGGGCTTCTCTTTTTTCCAGGTTTTCTTCAAAGCTGGCCTTCTGGGTCTTCTGGAAGAAATGAGAGACGAAAAACTGGCCCAGATTATAACAAGAACTCAAGCTGTCTGCAGGGGATTCCTAATGAGGGTAGAATATCAGAAGATGTTGCAAAGGAGGTAACAGCGGTGCAGATTATCAGAACTGTAAAGTCCCCTGGGGACTATTCCTAAGCCTTCTTCCTTCATTCCCTTTCATTTTGTGGGTGATACGTGCTCCTCACATGGTTCAGAACTCACTCCTACAACACATCAGCCTTTGTTTAACCCCTCATACTTGGGACTCCCTCCAGTTTCTCCCTCTCCATTGACCTCACATGGGGCTGCCAGAATACTCTGCAAGAAGCACTATTTCATCAGGCCATATCTCAGGGGGTGGTTCCGCCTCTTCCGCATCAAATCCAAGTTGCCTTGCATGGCGTCAAAGCTCTCTCTATTCCCCACCTCATCCATCATCCCCAGCCACATCGCCTTTTCCAGCCAGGCTAGACAATTTGCTTATCTCCTATTTTCATGTTTACCCCAGCCCTTTCCCCTCATCCTAACTTACCTACTTACCAATTTAGAACTTGCATTTCTCCTTTCTCCAATGAATCTCATCCAGCTCCAACTACCCAGCACTACTGTACTGTACTTACCCCCCCCACACACACACACACATTTTCCGCTCATTTTGCTCATCACTGCTTATTTGGATTTGCACTGTAAGTGTCCCCAAGCCTTTCCCATGTGTCTATATTATGGCTTCTGACATGGTATTTGCCTTCTCAGAGTCGTGATTCTTGTAATTTGGACCCATATACAAATAGAATTGACATTTTAATCATGAAGAGGCCTACTGACTGCCACAAGGTAGTGAAATCTTGTTTGTCTATTGCTACAGTCTGCAGGAGAGGTGTCTTTTATTACTATTTAAAATTTTGTGTATATAAAACAAATTTGAGAGCTCACTGTATGCTAAATCCCCTACAGACATTAACAATCTAATTAAGCAGCTAAGAAAGAGGCATTTGAAAGAATTTGAGAAAAACCAGTTCATTATCTGAAGAAGCTAACAAAAGTTGACGAGTGGATAATTCAGTGGTAACCAAACAAAGAGGAAAGGCCTCAAGAAAGACAGGCTACATCAGAAGTTCACCCGGTGTGGCAATGCAGAAAACACCCCATGCCATCTCACAGCTCACATCTGTGTGCCAGCAGCCAAGCGTCACACTCAACTTACAGCTGCCACACTCGCTCTCAAATCACCAAGACTGTGTGTCCAAATGATCTTAAATCAGTATGTGTCACTCATACCTGCAAAGTAGTCCTGCTCTAAGGTCAGCACCTCTGCTAGCGTGGTCATGTCTTAAGAACACAGAATTAGGGCCATCTGAGTGATTCAGTTGGTTACGCATCTGACTTCCCTCAGGTCATGATCTCACAGTTTGTGGGTTTGAGCCCTGCATCGGGCTCTGTCCTGACAGCTCAGAGCCTGGAGCCTATTTTCGGATTCGATGTCTCCCTCTCTCTTTGTCCCTCTCCGGCTGGCAGTCTGTCTCTATCTCAAAAATAAACATTAAAAAAAAATTTTTTTAAAGAACACAGAATTATTCAATATGAGCAGTACACATTAGCAAAGTGGTTGACAGAGCACCAGCAGGACGGTGTGTGTATAGTAAGTCTGCATATAATACGTATAAAACCTGATGTATCATTTCTACGTATGGAGTCATTACAAGGGGAATTTGTGTGTAAAATACAAAATAACAACAGTGACCCTGCCTCTGATGGATCAATCTACATTGATATTTTCATGTCATTTCAGAGAAGCCCTCTTCTGCATCCAGTACAACGTCCGAGCCTTCATGAATGTCAAGCACTGGCCCTGGATGAAACTCTTCTTCAAGATCAAGCCGCTCCTCAAGAGCGCAGAGACTGAGAGAGAGATGGCCACCATGAAGGAGGAGTTTCAGAAAACCAAAGATGAACTCGCCAAGTCGGAGGCAAAAAGGAAAGAACTGGAAGAAAAAATGGTCACTCTCTTGAAAGAGAAAAATGATCTTCAGCTCCAGGTTCAATCCGTAAGTATTCTGTATTTGGGATACACCATGTTATGGAAGCTTTTCTGGAAAGCATATATACTTTGGATTTACAGAAAGTCTCACTTTTTTTTTAATGTTTTTATTTATTTTGGGGAGAGAGACAGAGTGTGAGAAAGGCAAGAGGCAGAGAGGAGGAGACACAGAATCCAAACCAGGCTCCTGACTCTGAGCTGTCAGCACAGAGCCCAAAGAGCGCCTTGAACTCACAGACTGTGAGATCATGACCTGAGCTGAAGTCAGATGCTTAACCAACTGAGCCACCTAGGTGCCCCACAAATAGCCTCATCTTGAAACAGAAAATCAGAGGTTACTTTTTTTAGTACTTCGCTTACCTTTCCTGTGAGGAAGATATGGCACAGTGACTTCCAAATTACAAATGGGAAAGGGAAGACTGAAGCACGTATTCAATAACACCATGATTTTAACAGCCACAAGTGAAGCAGTTTAAAAGCAAAATCTCAGTCAAATATTTCACCCACTTGCCTTGCATGCTTCATCCCAGCCTTACAAGGATTGTCCTATTTTCCAAACATAGTATATCAAATTGTATTGAAATGAAAGAAAAATCATTATTCTTATTTCTCTCCATCCCTACTGAGGTTAGCTCAATAACACTGTTTGCAGCTACTTGAACTGAGTAACTGTAGTATAAGGTGGAGCCAAGTACCCTCTGTGATTCTTCCTTTGAGAGAGATCCCAAATTCTTTTTTTTTTAATTTTTAATGTTTTATTTATTTTTGAGAGAGAGAGAGAGAGAGAGACAGCGTGAGCAGGGGAGGGTCAGAGAGAGAGGGAGACGCAGAATCCGCCAAAGACAGGCTTCAGGCTCTGAGCTGTCAGCACAGAGCCCAACACGGGGCTCGAACCCACAAACCGTGAGATCATGACCTGAGCCGAAGTCGGACCGCCCAACCGACTGAGCCACTCAGGCGCCCCAGAGATCCCAAATTCTTTAGGCTTCTGTTTATTAGCTCAGGAAAGAGCTGTAATCAGGGTGGGGGACAGTTTTGGGGCCTGCCCAAACATAATTTCCCATTTCCTTGGACCTAAAGCCCACCACCTTCATGAAGAAACCTGTGAAAAGGATAGTTTTCTTAAAATTTTTAAGCTATTTTCAGCTTTTCTTTCTGATAGCTTCCCTTACATGAACGTTACCTTTCCCCAAAAGCACAAGATCAAAAGCCTCTTCATCCTAACCTCTGTTCACGGTTATTTTCACCAGTGAGTAAATATTTATTGAGTGCATCACTATTTAAAATAAAATCAAAGGAACCCTGGGAACTCCCCATTATCATCCACTTAAGCATTTAAACTACAATCATAAGATATGAACAAAACTGGCACTGAGTGAGAAGTTAAAGAAACTACCCCAGGCTAGAATAATCTAATAAGGCTGAGCTGATCTTTATTTGAAACCCTTAGTCATAAAAAAAAATATGTGGAGCTATAAAATGCCTCAAAATTACATGTTCTTGTATATACTAAAATTCATGTTGAGACTCAACATGAATTTTAGAATATACAAGGTGATCCTTACAATGGAAACGAAAATTGTGGACAATTACAGCACTGTTAAGGACTATCAGGAAGGTTGGGAGTGTGTGACAAACGGTGCATGGAAAGGTATTCATGGGCATAAAATCGTTTAAGTTCTTTTCCTTTTCTTTTCTAAACCCAGTCCAGCAACTAGTTGTTTGAGGTGAGCAGGGAATGATCAAAACCAAATTTAACCAATCTAAGTCAAAATCTTTGAAAATTTCAGCTAAATGTTTCTAGTGATCATTTATTCCCACTCCCTCAATTCCCTATAAGAAAAGTGAGAACAATAGAAATAAAGCAACTTGCCTGAGTTCATCCATATGGAGGCATTAATGAGACAAGAGCTCAGACTCCCCCTGGCCTATCACTCTTCTAAACACTACTCTGTAGTCAACTGCTTCAGTCCAATCATTTTTCAGATTAATGTGCTTCTAAATCTATAGTCGCGCCTTTAATTAGTTGCATTTCTCTAAGCCATGTAATAATGTTCAATTAAGTTTAATTTACATTCACACTGAAAGAGTCACCAGAATCCAGCAAACACTACTACTTTGTGCAAAGAACAAGTTCAAAAAAAGTAACGAGTTCTCTAAATGAGAACTTCATGAATCCCTCTACAGGAAGCTGATGCCCTGGCTGACGCGGAGGAAAGGTGTGAGCAACTGATTAAAAACAAAATCCAGCTGGAGGCCAAGATCAAGGAGGTGACTGAGAGAGCTGAGGAGGAGGAGGAGATCAACGCCGAGCTGACGGCCAAGAAGAGGAAATTGGAAGATGAGTGTTCAGAGCTCAAGAAAGACATTGACGACCTTGAGCTGACCCTGGCCAAGGTTGAAAAGGAGAAGCATGCCACGGAGAATAAGGTGTGAATCATATTCCATTCTACCATACTGAAGTTCTGTCAGCCTAGTAAACTGCTTTAGAGCAGATATCATTTTCTTTTTCATTTTTCAAGGTGAAAAACCTCACGGAAGAGATGGCAGGCCTGGACGAAACCATCGCTAAGCTGACCAAGGAGAAGAAGGCCCTCCAGGAGGCCCACCAGCAGACCCTGGATGACCTGCAGGCAGAAGAAGACAAGGTCAACACCCTGACCAAAGCTAAAACCAAGCTGGAGCAGCAAGTGGATGATGTAAGTGGGGTTCTGATATCCATGTGAAGAATGTTTTTAAATACACTTTTGATGTTTAACATATTTTCCTTTCTCATTAGCTTGAAGGGTCTCTAGAGCAAGAAAAGAAGCTTCGAATGGATCTAGAAAGAGCAAAGAGGAAACTGGAGGGAGACCTAAAATTGGCCCAAGAATCCACAATGGATATAGAAAATGATAAACAGCAACTTGATGAGAAACTCAAAAAGTAGGAACTCCAGAAAAAAATCCCATGTGGTA